CCCTCTCCCTCTCCCTCTCCCTCTCCCTCTCTTTAGTATCATGGATGGCATGACAGAGGCATGCATCAAGGGTGGCATCGAAGCCTGCTACGCTGCCGTGTCCTGTGTGTGCACCTTGCTGGGGGCTCTGGACGAGCTCAGCCAGGGCAAGGGGCTGAGTGACAGCCAGGTGCAGCTGCTACTCCTGCGCCTGGAAGAGCTGAGGGACAGGGATGGGGCCGAGTCCAGCCGAGACTCCATGGAGATCAACGAGGCTGACTTCCGCTGGCAGAGGCGAGTGCTGTCCTCGGAGCACACGCCCTGGGAGGCAGGCAATGAGAGGAGCCCCGACATCAGCATCAGTGTCACCACAGACACCGGCCAGACCACCCTGGAGGGAGAGTTGGGTCAGACAACACCTGAGTACCACACAGAGAACCACAAGAATGGGCTCAAGTCTCCAGCCATCCAGGAGGGCAAGGAGACACCAGGCAAAGTGTCAGAGCCCGAGGCCATAGACCAACCTGATGTGGTTCAGAGGAGCCACATGGTCGCTTACCCTGACATCACCAACTTCCTGTCAGTGGACTGCAGGATGCGGTCCTACGGCTCCAGGTACAGTGAGAGCAACTTTAGTGTGGATGACCAGGACCTGTCAAGGACAGAGTTTGATTCCTGTGATCAGTACTCAATGGCAGCAGAAAAGGACTCGGGCAGATCAGACGTGTCGGACATTGGGTCGGACAACTGTTCACTGGCTGATGAGGAGCAGACCCCTCGGGACTGCCTGGGCCACCGGTCCTTGAGGACAGCTGCTCTGTCTCTCAAGCTGCTGAAGAACCAGGAGGCCGACCAGCACAGCGCCCGGCTGTTCATGCAGGCCCTGGAGAGCCTCCTGCCTCAGCTGCTGGCACTCTCCAGCGTGGAGGAGGTGGACACAGCCCTCCAGAACTTTGCCTCTACTTTCTGCTCAGGTTGGTAAATGGTGTTTTGCTGTAGGGGAAACAAGGATGCTCAGAGCACTTAGCCAGGCGGGCAGTTACCATCCTGCTTGCAGTGTGGAGCACTTAGATCACTGTGCCTCGGGCTCACCTCTATTTAAACAGGGCAAGGTATATAAGACAGATTGGTGGAGGTTTATTCGTGGACACAGGAGCTCTGCTGCCTGGCCTGCTCTGACCAGTTTGATGTCCCTTGTGCCAACATGAAAGCCCAGCAAACATTCCTGGTCCCCCAGAAGCCATGTGACACAGTGAAGCACAGCTATTGGTTGTGGTCATGATGTTCTTGTGTTATAGAGAAATATTAAAATTATAGGTAGGGTCTTCTCTTTTAAATTTAAAATATCCATATAAAAAGACTTTATGACAGAAGTGTCCGCATTTAATACATAGATTTATCTCTCAGATAACTCCATGTTTGTAAACACCACCTGCTGGTAATTCCAGAAGAATAAGTTGTCTGTTTCTTATGACATTAAGGAATATAACCCTAGCAAGGTCTTTTATAAAATTTTAGGCAAAAAGCCACTCTTCAAATTTGTGTTTTGATACCTTTGCTTTCACTGCATGCCAAATAGGATGTGTGTAACTTTTTTTTTAATGCGACTAGGCTGTCGCACAGTGAATTGCAAACTGCCCAAATTTTAGAGGTCTATAAAATGTCCCGTCAAACTTGATATGTTATATGGAATTATTTTTTACATGTAGAAATCAATACATTGAAAAGAGACCTCATATATTATTACTGGTTTCTAAAAGCTATTTTTAATGCTTGTCATTAACTTAGTTGTTGGTCTTTTTAATCCTAATGACATCCACAGTGCTTTTGCCATTTAAGAGTTGGTCTCTGTTTGCAAATCACAGACCCATCAGTCCTGGTCCTATCCCTCACATGCCAGCTCTCCGCGGTGACACTGTGGTGTAGCTGGTGGCACGGCCATTGCCGTGGGAACAATAAAGCCGCTGGCTGCTAGCCCGTGTCCACCTCCCGAGCAAGGTGTATGCCCTTCTGTCCTTGCAAGTCCTAACCTCCAACACTAGAAATTAAAGCAGAAATGCTGGACTTCTGCCGAGACAAGGGCTGGGAGACAGCAAATGTCCCTTGTTTGCCCAAGAAAGAGTCATGAGAACAAAAACAGGGGAGAAAGGAACTCCAAGTCATAAACTAGATCTTTGATTCTTGTTTTGTAAGAGTAGGGAGATGTATTGGGGAAGATCTTTGATTCTTTGTTTGTTTTGATCTCAAAGCCTCAAACCTTCTTTTGCCAAAACTTGCAAGTGTTCCTCTCTACCTTGTCACCAGGGGCTGTATTCATGGCCTAACCACACTCAGTGGCTCTTTCTCAGTGATTCCGTCCTGATATCTGACGAGCCACTGAGGTGAGCTCTCTAACGCTATGTGACAGAAGAGCGTTTCTTCTGTTTATTTATTTTAAACTTTTTTTATTAGTGCATGTCTGCAGCACAATGAATGCACTCATCATGGAGAGTTGGTACATGCACATAACACGTCTTAATTCTTTTCTCATCCTCTTTCCTTCCTTCCCTCCTCTTGATGATACATCACTTGCCTAATATCTGTGAGGTCCTTGGTTCGATCCTTAGCCTAGTAAAAATGTTAAAAAGGTAAAACTGGTGTAATCACATCCTGATGAATATTTTAAAGGTAAAGGGCCAAGGATGGAAGGAGAGAATGTCTCTTACGGCGGGGCAGTTGGAAAATACTCAGACAAAACCAGTTTTGATAAAGAAGTCCTTGCCCTGAACTGTGACCCCTGTGGAAGTGCCTCTGTGGTCCTGCAGAGAATGAGGTGGCTCCTGGGGACCAGAAGGAACCCCCGGGTCTGTGCTTCAATCGATGAAGGGGCTGACTCTGGGATCTCAGTTCCTCCGATGAGTGGCTTTCAGTCAGTCTGCACACTTACTGTGACCAAATGGAAGGCTGTGGCAAGCACTGCAGTATGCATAACTTAGCACATTCAGTAGAAGGTAGAGTAGCAAGAAGGAATCTCAGCTGTGCAAGAAATAGCTGTTTCTTTAAAACAAATCTGACTGTAGGCCCCCACCCCCAGCCTGCCTAGCCCGCAGGACTCTTGGCCTCTGCTTTCCTTCCCTCTGGCCCCCATCTCATGGACAAACCCAGAGCTGGAGCATCTCGAATGGGTGCCCCCGCTGTCCCAGCTCACAGACTGCCCCGGGTGCCATGATTCTGCCACCTCCCTCCCTGCCAGCCTGTGGCCTGGCAAGGCTGGGAGCCCCTGCACGCAGTCACCTGCCCTCCTTCCGGTCCTGCAGCCCTGCGGCCAGCCATGCCTTGGGGAGCCACACACACACAGCCTCTTCCCACCAGGGTTTCTCCCGCACCTTCACCGCCCCTTGATGAGGGGGCTGGGCTCAAGGTTGTCCCTGAAAGAACTTGGCATCTTTTCTAGCAGGCATTTTTCAGCAAATGAATGTGCTCATTTACATATATCTGAATAATAATGGCTAACATAGCATACCCCTTCCTGTGTGCCCCACACCGTCCAAGGGTTTTGCATATGTTGATTCATTTAATACTCCAGCCCTGAGCCATTAGTGTGTGTTTGGTGGGGGAGAGAGAACATACCAAGAGCAAAAGGGAATATGTTACATGTGTAATTTTGTGACATACCTTCCACTTAATATTTTGTTAGCATGTTCATCTGTCTTTAGTCTGTGAAAATATGATTTATAGTGCCTCTAATATTCATTTGTGTTAACTTACACAGTGTACATGATTTTTCCTTTTGGTGGACCCCTAAGTTTTTCTCTACATGCCCCCTAAAACTTTTTAATTATTTAGGAAATGCTGTTTAGGAACACAAAAGCCTCTGTAATCAATTTGCATTGGAAAAAGAAAAAAGTAACCTACAGTGGCTAAAAAGCTGTAACTCAAAATATGTGTGACAGTCGTCCAAGCTCTGACAGACACTGATGCTCTGGGGAATATCTACTAAGGAAACAGAATCTCAGACAGAGATACATGTATAGAAATGTATTCAGCAGCATTGTTTCATAATGAAAGTATCAGAAAGAAGCAAAAGCCCATTAAATGAGCTACTGGCATTTTGTAACCATTTAACATGGTGCTTGCTACAGAAAATGGTCAGAATATAATTTTTTAAAGAAGGACTCAAAATTAATGTTAAAATGTTAATGCTCATCTCAGAATAGTGTGGTTACAATTAATTTCCTTCTAGGTATGTTTTTCCAAATTTCTAAAAGTAATATTTTATAAATTTTTCAGGAAAGAGAGAAGCACTACTATGTAAAAACTAGAACTAAAAACTTATGTAAAGACACATATTGCCAAGGAAAGTCGTACACTCTTATAATGATGGTTTAGAAAGTTAGTCATGCCCAGGCAGTGTTGCTGAGAGTGTAAGAATATCCTTGTGCACAGTTGGCAGGAGGAAAAAATAGTATGTATGATACTATTTGGAAGATATTTCAGCTGTATCTGTCAAATTTAATTATATATATATATTTATATATATATTATTCTACTTTTAGGAATTTATCCCACAAATACACATGTGGAACTGCTAAAAGTAATTTCATCACTTCAGCTTTTTTCATAATTGAAACAATGTAATGTCCACTGATATGATAGAGCATTATATACCACAGAGCCCAGCGGTATATGGGGTTATTAAAAAAAAGAGGCAGATCTGTAAGCACTAATATAAAGAGACGCCCATGACACATTGTTGGAAAGCATCACAACCCTATGTGATACATTTGTCACATCCATGGTCCATGTTGTTATAGTTCCATCCACACAAGGGAGTGTAGTCTTGTGCTGGGAGAGGTGTAATTGAGGCTTAGGAGATGCAGGACAATTGTTCTTACACTCCACCATATTGTTAAATGTTTTAAAGCAAATATTTAATGTTGACTTAAAAAAATATATTGTCTTGATGCAAGAGAGACATTCTTTAGATAAATTCTTTATCTAGTCTTTTACTGGTAACCCTTGGGCCAGGTGCTCCATCCTCCTGTTCCTAACAATGAGGAACATCTTAATTACAGTGAATGAACTTCACCTACTGAAACCTGGGAAATACCAGTCCTAGCACCAGAATATATTAAAGGTCAGAGTTTCTTTCGTTGGCCACTTCAGTGAAACCAATCAGAAGGATGTGCAGAAAATAGAATATCAGAGGGGAACATGTGACTAGAATTAGAAGCAAGTACAGAATGGCTTTGTACAAAAAGCCTGGAGTTTGGGTCCAGAAGACCTTTGAGAATTTCCAGCTGGATAACTTTAGACAAATTAACATCTCTGAGGTACTTTCCTTGCTGGTAAACAAAGTTGAAACAAGATCAAGTGAAGTGATGTATGAGGAGAGACTGGTTCTAGGCAATAGACAATACTTAACAAATTACAATTGCTGTGTTGATTCCATTATGAATATCACCAGTGAACTATATTTGGTATAGCACAAAAAGTATTTTCCTTAAGTGGACAGAGTATACCTCATGTTGTCTTCATCTCAAATTTGCCCCCTGTTTGTAATGAAGAAATTATACAGATACAGGCAAATACCAACAGATGGCCCCTCACAAAGTTCAACAGATCATTTCAGAAGCAGGTGTATCTGCTGGCTGTGCTTTCTAGAGCTCATGATTGGGTCTCTGGACATGCTAGCTCTCATGTTCAGCTTTCCAAAACATATTCCAAAATAAATAACTGGTTTCGAAATTTTTAAAGAAATTATCACTGATGTCTAGGATCAAAGCCACTGACAGCTTCTTTTCTTCCTCTCTGTTCATAGACTCAGATGTACCTTTTGCCTATGACCCAAGGTAGTTAAATGCTTAGCCCTAAATGCTGCTCTGTTTTACCTTGTAAAGAGAAGGATCTTAGACCCTCTATGTCTGCAGAGAACCAGGACCAAACCCAACAAGTCCTTCAGAGTGCTGGGGGTTCCCAGGGACCATCTGGGCCGAGATACACCACTCATGTCTGTCCAAGGATGTAGTTTTCAGATCTGGCTCTCAACTTGACCCTCCTTCCATGATCACAGAGCAGTAGGTGCTCTCAGAAGGCAGCTGCAGAGACCCAGACAAGTTCTATAAAGCGTGATGGAGCTGGCACCTCACCTCGGCTTGTCCAAGTGGCTCTGCTGGGTGGGAGGCTTGGTATTTCTCCCAAATACAGAAAGTGTCTTGAGTTAAAAGCTTCCTCTGGCCCATACCTTCTTGAACATCCTGGTTGCAAATCTATGTTTCTCACTTACTCAACTGTTAACTTTGGCATACGTGTCCGTTTCATGTCGGAGATATGGTTTTGATGAAATGAGACTGCATGTGCCCTGAAGAATGTGTGGGTGCATGGAATTTGCACACATGTGTTTAGGATGGTCTCTAACCCGAGCCTCGGAGTGTTTGCAGGGAGAAAGGCACTCCGGACCAGTACCATGCCCCATCCAGCGAGGTTGGCCTGGGTACCCGTGTCACCCATGCTTCCCGGAAGTCACACAGGCACCACCTGCTGGCTGAAGGAGCCCAGCTGCAGTCATTCCCATGTTTGTTTTCCAGTCAATTTGTATAAAGCCCAAGGGGCTATTCAAAATGAGAACTGTTACTTAGTATAAAATAGTATTCTATATAATGTTTTTTTAAATAGTGGGGAAAAAGTCAATAGTTATCATATTTTTTGAACCTCTTTATTGTTTTTTTAAACAGCTTTATTAAAATAAAATTTGCATACATTTACCCATTAAAGTGCATGACGAAGCCATGTGTAGTGGTGCATGCCTGTAATCCCAGCACTCGGGAGGCTGAGGCAGAAGGATTGCTCCAAGTTCAAGGCCAGCCTGGGCTACAGAGTGATTTCAAGGCTGGCTTGGGCTGCATAGGGAGACCCTGTCTTAAAAATGAAAACATAAACAAATAAATAAATACATGATGAAGTAGTCCCTGATATATTACATTATTATCTGTTTTAATGTTGTAAAATATATATACCATAAAAGTTGACATTACTCATGTTCAAGGGTATAACTTAGTGACATTAATTTTATTCACAATATTGTACATCACCACCATTATTTTCAGTTTTTCATCATCCCAAGCTGCCCTTGTCCCCATTCCTGGTAGCCTCTTAATCTACTTTCTATCTCTGAATTTATCTATTCTAGGCACTTCATATAAGTGACAATAAATGTTTGTCATTTTGTTCCTGGCTTATGGTACTTAGCATATGTATTCACTGCTTTTTTTACAAGGCATCGGAACTTCCATTCTTTTTATGGCCAAATAATGTTCCATTTTATGTATACACCACATTTGGTTATCCATTTGTTCCAACTTGGGGGTTGTTCCCATGTTTGACTATTTTGACTCATTCTGCAATGGTCATTGACATACAAATATCTGCTCAAATCTCTGCTGCAGCTCTTTTAGGAATATAACTAGGAGTCAAATGGCAGGGTCATATGGTAATGTTTTGCTTTTGGAGAAACTTTTTTTTTTTTTTTTGCAAACTTTGTATTTAAGAGTAACTGTATTAAGAGTAATTCCATGTGAATCTGGGCATGGTGACACATACCTGTAATCCAGCACTCGGGAGGGTGAGGCAGGAGGATTGTCATGAGTTTGAGGACAGTCTGGGCTACATAGTGAGTTCAAGGAGAGCCTGAACTTCATAGAATAGTGAGATCCTGTCTCAAAAACAAAACAAACCCACAGAAAGTAACTGCTGTGAGCCTCTTACCTCAATGCACCATTGAATGTAGTTCACATAGCAAGTTTATTCACTCATTCAGTCATTCAACAAATGTTTTAAGGGTCCGCTGTGTGGCAGGCACTGTTCTACGCACGGTGGGGGGAATTCTGTAATGAACAAAACTAGCAGATACCTGTCCTCTCGAAGATCTCCCATATTAATGATGATGACGGGCAGGAAGTATATATTCATGTAATGCTGCATAGAATAAATGCTATTGAGGGCATTTTAAAATGCGGGGGGGGGGCAGAGTGTTGTGGGGCAGGGGGTGCTGTTTAGATGGGATGGAAGTGGAGGTCTCTGAAAAGCCCAACCCCAGAGCTGAAAGAGTGAAGGAGTGGGTCATGGGAGAGCTCGGTCAGAGAGGCCATTCTGGGAGTGGCAAAAATGAGGCAGGTCCAGGTGGGGGTGAAGCTGGGGTTTGGGTGCCATCACCGGAAGCCACCTGAGAGTTGAGCCAGGATGGAGCAAGGTGCGAGTTAGAGAGCAAGGGAGTTCCTTCCCAAAGTCCTGGCTGCTAAACAGCAGAAAGACTCCAGCGCAGGCAGATCTGCGGGCCTCCCGCGCTGGCTGTTAAACTGCACGGAAGTTCCCAGACCTTGTGGTTATTTCTGTCCCAGCCTGGGCCGGGTGCGCACCGTTTGCAGCGGAGCTCTGGGTTCCTCCCCCAGGCATGATGCACTCGCCCGGCTTTGACGGGAACAGCAGCCTGAGCTTCCAGATGCTGATGAACGCCGACAGCCTGTACACGGCGGCGCACTGCGCCCTGCTGCTCAACCTGAAGCTGTCGCACAGTGACTACTACCGGAAGCGGCCCGCCCTGGCGCCGGGCGCCATGGTGAGTGTGCGGCCTCTGCAGCTCCTCCGGGCACGCGCGGGCCTCCCGGCTGCACACCCCCGAGTCGGTGCCTGGAGAGCGTGGCCGGGTGTGCTCCGTTCAGCACCCATGCGGCTCTGCAGGGAGGAAGGAGATGGTGTGTGATCGCACTGATGTGCACAGATGTGAGCTGCAGAGCCACCGATCCTGACGGGGCTCCTGGCAGGGAAGAGCCCTGAGTGCTTGCTTCTGTCCCATCCTTTCATCCAGTGGCATCATTAAACATATATGCATAAAGCACTTTCAAAAACACATCATTACCGCATTAAGTGAGATCAGATATGCGGGACTTTGCTGAAAATGATGCATTGTTACAGAACTCTTCACTGCATTCCAAAATGTACCCAGACAAACTCATGAACCAGAACTGGGCTCTGACGTGTGGAGAATGGGGTTGATGACTCTGTGGTTGCCCCCTGGACTGATCAAGACATTCCAGGGTGACCCCTAGGACTAAGTCCTGAGCCTAATCCTCTGGACCCACAAAAGAGGATAGGTAATCATTTGTTGCTTAATAAATTATGAATCTGCAAGGATAGGTGACTGCCTTGTAAATGAAGGAGGTGCATGCATTCCCTGGGGAGCACACACCATCTCCACTGCCCCTGGGCGGAGGAGAGGGAGCTGTCGCAGGCAGCCGCGTGCTTTCTGATCCTCCACTGGAGGGTAAAGGTAGCAAATGCAGAGCCCCAATCCTTCTGCAGGGTGTCATCAGCAAAAGGGGCTGCATGAGGTTCTGGCTTCTCCCTCAGCCCCCATATAGCTCCCTGCCTCATGGCAGAGCCGCCATGGGAAGGGACAACTTGGGAGCCTCGTGCTTGGTCCCCTTCTAACGTGCTCTCTCTGTGCAGAAGGAGTTCATGAAGCAGGTGCAGACCAGCGGTGTGCTGATGGTCTTCTCCCAGGCCTGGATCGAGGAGCTGTACCACCAGGTGCTGGACAGAAACATGCTGGGAGAAGCTGGCTACTGGGGCAGCCCAGAGGACAACAGCCTGCCACTCATCACCATGCTGACCGGTCAGTGGCCCATGCCGAAGCCATGGGTACTCGGTGGGGTAGGAAGGCTCCGCCTCCCAGGCCTCCTTCAGATGCACAGCGCTGTTTCACTCTGACTTTGAAACAGCACCCACAAAGCCTGTCTGGGCATTGGGAACAGCTCCAGGGTGCACCTCACAGTTTTCTGTCCTTCCATGGGGAGCTTGTGAAGCTCACTGTCCTATTAGACAAGCACTAACTTAGCACCTGTCTGCTGGTGTCAGGCCATGGGTCTCTCTCCTATGGATATGTAGTGCTTCCTGGGCACAAAGCCCAGAATAATATCTGGAAGCTCTCACGGGCTAATAGAAGCATTGATTGCTCAATGCTCCTGGGATTTGACCAGCAATGTGAAATGACTGATTTTCAACTTGACCTCATTTCCATTTCCTGTCCATATCAGACTTCCTCCCTCTCTTCCCACCTGTACCAGAATTACAAATGATGCCAAATACTCACCTGCCCAGAATCTTTGGTGTCAGTGTTCAGAACTTTTAATATCCTGTTTAAGTATCAGAAATTTCACATGAAGCCAGGTGTTCTGGAGGCTGAAGTAGGAGGATTGCTTCAAGTTCAGAGCCAGCCTGGGCTACTTAGTAAGTTCAAGGCCAGCTTGGACTACATAAAGGACCCCAAGAAATTCCATATGAAAGTAGAGAGCAGTGTGCAGTAATGTGGAGCAGTTTGGGTGTTGGCTTGGGGTGGGGGACAGATTTTCTTGGTTTTTCATGTTTTAGCCAGGATGTCAGTCAAAGTTCAGGAAGTGCTCAAAAGTTTTGTTTAATCATCAAAAGCCTTATTAAGTTAGATCTTCAGGCTTGTTCTGTATTGGTTCTGAGTTTCCAGGCTGGTTTCTCATCTGAATTGTTCTCTCATGGCTTCCGTTAATGGAATATGGAGGACAAGGCCCTGCACCAAATGTCCCCTGCCCTGCCCCTGTCCTATGTTCTCACACAGCTTGCAGCTCTGCACCAGGCAGAAGCAGGTCTGGGATGGACAGGACTGGGTTGGCCAAAGGGTGTGTCATGTGCCTGTGGTTGATTCTGGGGACTCTTATAAAGGTGAGAGTTGACTACTAACAGATGAAATTGGGGGGACACACTACTTAGGATCCAGCCTGGAAGTGAAGGCATACAGTGAGGTCTGTCCCCACAAGGCAGAGTCCTGATCCTTCTCTGGCATTTGGAGTCTTGCCTCCAGAACAAGGATGGAAGTGGGGCAGCAAGGCTGGGGCCCAATCTTGGGGATCAGGATCACTGGAAAGGTGTCAGTTTGTATTTTGTTAATCATGATAGCATTTACAACCACTTGAAAAATACTAATCCATATATGTGAGGGACATTTATTTAATTTACCCATAAGTAATGCTTGGTGTCCATCTGTTTTTGCAAAAATCCCTTCCTGGCAATGGCAGGTGCTGACCAGAGTTTATTAGTGACTTGGAATTTGGATCTTCAACTTACCAGTTTTAATTTGTTAATTTTTAAATGCTAGAGTTGTTGTCAAACACAGTCTTTGTAAAGTCCTTACCTGAAGCTTAATGAAAGGGGTTGTTCTGTGATGTAAATAATCTTTTCATAAGACCCATAAGGTTTTTTGAATCTTGGCACCAAATTCCAGATATGGCATGACAAGCAAATTCAAGCAGCAGTTAACCTAGGGTTTAGAAAGTGCTCTCTGATCTTTTCATTATGTACGAGGAGAAACCGTGGCAGTAATTTGGTCACAAAGCCTCTACTAACTCTAGCCGCCCCTGGTGCCGAGGAAAGTGTGCTATAGAACTGTGAAACTGTAGTGCTTAAATACATTTTGTATTACTTGAATTCATCACTCTTTTATGTAGCACATAGGAAACATAAGTTAGAATAATGACAGTTTCTGGTGAATGCCAGTAAGCCATTTGACCAATAGTCAAATTAATTTCAGAGAAACTGGCCTGTTCCCATTTTAACAACCATATACATTTCTCCCATTTTTGATCTTTTAACGTGCTGCCCAGAAGTCTCCAGCCTTCTTAAAGTTTTTGTGAGAATCAAGAGAAACTGAACCAATTGGTAAACACCATGCAAAGAAGTCTTACCCTATTGAGGCGCGGCTAAATTCCCAAAGGCAGAGTAATTTATCCTTCCATGCCCTCCCCGGGTTGGATGGACCTATTCTGGGTCCGTACACACATTTCAGCCCCATCACTACTGCTCCAGTGGTTGCTTCTTTTATGCCAAGGATGTTGGCACCCCGAGAATGGAGTGTCTGTCCCAGGTCCAAGGCTGCATAAGTAAGAACCAAGATAGAAGCCCAGCATTTTCATCCCCAGTCCTCCATTTCCTTTCTGCCACGATGTTAGGGGTGGTTTATTGAGCTAATTCTGTTCAGGAGGGCTTCCTCCAGGGTAGCTATGGAAACAAGGTAGTTGAGGAGCTATAGCGAGCTGGCGCACGATGTCACAGAGAGAAGCCTGGCCAGGAGTGGGAAGATGGGGACATTGGGCTGATTCCTTTCTTTGCCAGCCATATGGTCTAAAGTGATTTACCTTCTTTAAATGTTTGTTTCTTTCTTGTTTGAAATGGGAAAAGTAATACCAATCCTGCCTACCTACTTTGAGTTGTTGGGACAATCAAATGAAAAAAAAAATGTTAGATGAAAACAATTTGAAAATTGTAAGGTATTTTATGAATGTATTATCAGCCACTAGAGTAAATGATTATTTGACCAAAGAAGTCTGTTCTCTCGCTCTCTCTCTCTTTTTTTTTTTGGTACCAGGGATTGAACTCAGGACCTTGCACTTCTGAGGCAGGCAGTGGCACCACTGAGCTAAATCCCCGGCCCAAGTGTGTTCTCTTTTTAATTCTAATGAGGAAGCCCTCAAAGAAAAATTCATTTTAGGGTAACCTGCCCATATAAAATTTAGAAATAATGCCATGGCTATGAATAAAAAAATCCAAAGATCAAAATTATCTTAAATGAATAGATTTCCTAACAATAGAGATGGCAGAATTTAGCTTTATTTTTTCAAATACAAAATACACAGCAGCATAACAGAAGAATGCTTTGACAATGAAAGGAAAATGGACTGACTGAATAAAACACAATTTAGAATATTCTGAAAAAGTTTCTACGTACTCAGTACATAGTAGATACCTGGATACTTGTTGACGAAAAATGAACATCATGGTGGCATTTGTTACACTGAAGTGTTGTATTCAGGAAAACCCTTGTTCTTTTTCCTTGACAGATATTGATGGCTTAGAGAGCAGCGCAATTGGTGGCCAGTTGATGGCCTCAGCTTCTACAGAATCTCCTTTTACCCAGAGCAGGAGAATTGACGACTCCACGGTGGCGGGTAGGGCCTTGAGCCTTGAGTTCATATTTTTTTCATAGTGTGTGTTACCAGCAATTGTATTACTGTGTAGTAATATAAATGAATGAAGACTCTGTCTCCGTTCTAACAGTACCTGCTAGAAGTTATATAGCATCATCCAGCTGATGATGATGTGGCATTCGTTATTCATAAGCACAAAATGAAACAAGATCCACCAGTCCATTAAATTACATTTCCTGCCATAGAATTGCCTGCAACTCGGAGTTGCTAATTTGACAGCCAGAGAGCCCCAGGCCATCCTTTGCCAGGCTGTTCCTGTCTCTGGAAAGTGACCATATGCCTTCGTGTCCTAGGTGTGGCCTTTGCTCGCTACATTCTGGTCGGCTGCTGGAAGAATCTGATCGACACTCTGTCCACCCCCCTGACTGGCCGCATGGCAGGGAGCTCCAAAGGGCTAGCTTTCATCCTGGGAGCTGAGGGCATCAAAGAGCAGAACCAGAAGGAGCGCGACGCCATCTGCATGAGCCTCGACGGGCTGCGGAAAGCTGCCAGGCTGAGCTGTGCACTAGGTACTGGCGAGGGGTCCCCACAGGACTCTCTGGGAAGCAAGTCTTTTGGAAGGGGCTCTGCTAGATGACGGGCTGGAGAATCTGCTCAGTTAAGGGGTAGCTGTCTGTTTCCTCTAAAGGGGTTGCTGCTAACTGCGCCTCAGCCCTCGCCCAGATGGCGGCTGCCTCCTGTGTCCAGGAAGAGAAAGAGGAAAGGGAAGTGCAAGAACCCAGCGATGCCATAGCACAAGGTAACAGCTAAGGGGTCAGCAGCCACCTGGTGCCTGGGACGCGGTGACACTCACCCTATTCCATGTGTGATCCACAGTCAGTGTATGCCACTAACCATGAGTCCCAGTGAGCCACAAGCTTGGGTCTGTGGGGGGTGAGGGACTCGCTCATAGTGGTCCCTCTGGCCCCTGGTGATGAGGAAAGTGCGAATGGCTGACAGCTGGAGTCTGTGGCCCTCCCAGCTGAGTCATCTGGCCACTGGCTCTCGTGCCTCATGGAGGTGCACATTTGAAGGCCCCCAGTATATAATGGGGAAGGCAGACAGGCCAGTTTCCTGAAAGGGAAAGTCAGAAGGGGACTGAGAGAGGAAGCTCGGGAAGGCTTTGCTTTTGTTAGAGAAATCTGAGCTTTGTGGACTCAGGAAAGTGTTTGTTTGCTTGATTGCTTGCTTGTTCTAGTTTTGTTTTTGAGATGGGTCTCACTGTGTAATCCAGGCCAGCCTTGAACTCACATGTAGCTCAGGCTGGCACTGAACTCAGCTCTCCTGCCTCAGCCCTTTGAGGGCTGGGATCGCAGGCAAGAGCCATCATGCCCCACATGGAAACTGTTGATTTTTAACTTGTTGAAATTCCATGCAGCTCGTGGTCACCTAGATAGGGGAAGAGAACGGTCTTCCCAATAGCAGTGGAAGATGAGAGGCAGGTACCAAGGGGAGAAGCGCAAGCTTGGTACAGATTATGCTAATACCACCTACCAGATGAGTAAAATAGTGATCACAGAAACAGCTGTATATTTTTAGCTAAGGAAAACAATTTAGATCAGTGTTCCTCAAGCTTGAATAATATTTAAAGATCCATTTGAAAGCGGAGCAATTCTTCCAGATCCTCAGTGATTACCAAAAAGGGAAAACACAATTTCACTGAAGTTTTGTACAAGGTGAGCTACACTAAAATTCTTACATTTATTGGTCTTTAAAATCCCACAAGACTGGGGATTAGGACATAGCTCAGTGGTAGAGCACTTTCCTAGCATGCACAAGGCCCTGGGTTCAATTCCCACCACCACAAAATCCAACAACAGCAGCAATGAAAACCACACACACAAGACCAGAAGTAAAATAGTATAATTATAAACAAATATATAGAGCTAGTGTACATTCATGAGACAAAGGCTGTTTTGCTAAAAATCACTTTGTCTTTTACAATACAAGTATGATTCAGAAAGAGTCCTTTGAAGTTAGCTCACTAGATTTCTCAGTTATGAGCCGTGACTCAGTTACCGCTCCAGATCCAGTGATTTGAAACCTTTGTCCAAGGATGACACTATGTCATTCGCCCTTGCCTCACTTGTTGCATAATCGCCATCCTAAGGCGACTTCTGGATCTTTTCTCATTAGTTATCATCATGATGGTTTTAAGAAAATATTACTTGGAGTTCACAAAAACAAAAGTAAACTCGGGGGTGGGGAAGAATGATGCAATTTTCAGCTATAGAGATGACGTCCGGTGCTCAGGAGCTACACACAAAGCTTTAGGGATGACCGTTGTAATAAAAGTATAATGTAAGCCATCTCAGAGAGAATGTGCAGACTGCTGGGAGTTCCTCTCCATCACCAGGCAGAGCGCATGGGGACGGGGAGGGTCCAAGCTCGGGTGGCTGAGCTGGAGTCGGTACAGGAAGTCCGTCCACACTACTGCACCTGACCTAGAGCCCACAGGTGGGCTGGGAGGAACTGCACCTACCAGCTTGGAATCCATCTGACTTCGGAGCCCCAGAGCTGGGGCCACCCATGTGCGTGGCCTGCTTGTTGGGTAGTTTGCATGATGAACCACGGGGACCGACCAGAGAGGTGCTTGCTGCCAATGAAGTCTGTTGTTCCCCCTTTGCCCTTGCACGACAACACATTCCGTCATTCTCATCCTGTCTCTCTCCCTTTCTGTCTCCCTTGCTTAGACAGTTATTTTAATAAATGTCTTTCTGACACAGTGAAACTAAAAGTGGAGCAGAAACTGGAGCAGATGGGGAAGGTGCAGGGGGTATGGCTGCACACGGCCCACGTCTTATGCATGGATGCCATCCTCAGCGTAGGCCTGGAGATGGGAAGCCACAACCCGGACTGCTGGCCACACGTGTTCAGGTGCATGACGGGATCCCAACCTCCTTGGCACCGACCCTGCCTAGGGAGCCCGGGGTGGTGGAGAAGGTAGACTGAGGGTCTGCCAGCACTTCCCGAGATGCTGACCTTCCCAGAGCTTGAATCCACTTCAAGAGAGAGACAGGAAAGGAGAGGGAGGGAATGGAGGCTCCAGAATATGCTTTGGAGAACAGAGTAGCAGAGCCGGACTTAAGGAATTGTGGTTTATCTGTTGCTATTGTCTCAAGAGACAGATGTGTTGTGCCAAGGACAAAAGACCAGTTTCTTACATAGCAGATGGAAGAAAACTGCTTAAGTTAAGTGAAAACTGTGAAAATCTAAAACCTGGTTATGTATCAGCAATATAACGTTGCTGGATGTTTGTCAGTGTCCCCTGTACTTAAAGAATGATTTAGGTTAGCGTGCATGGTTACATAACATACCTTGTTAAAGATGCTACTTTAACTAGACAAATTAAAAACAAAATAATACATCTATGGCAAAGACCAGCCCAAAATTTGGCTCTAAGCTTTGTAGCATCAAAGTGAAAAGAAACACCCAATCGGTTACACAGTACACAGTGCCTGCAAGCTGAAAACAGAGCAATAGTCCTCTAGTCCAACTCTTCCTGTAACTAAGGCAAAAAACATGCCTCCCTGAGGCCTGGCATTGGGGTACAAGGCAAGGAGCGCTGTTCACAGAGCAGGCTGTGCCTTACCCTTCCGCCTGAGGCACCACATGAAGTGCATCACTCAGACAGACAGGCTATGGTGCAGGAGCACCAGAAACACCGGCGAGATCTGGGTTCCCTTTGACATCACCAAAGCAAATACAGCCGTGAGTGTCTGTTGAGTTTCAGAGAGATGCAGAACACTTAAGGATTGTAAAACCAACCACCTTGAGAGGAACTTGTGAAAGGACCAGGATGAATCGGCCTGGAGCAAAGTAGGTTTCAATATGGAGGCTGGGGACTGGCTGCTCAGATGGCCCCAGAGCAATGTGGATGGCATCAGGAGAATCCCTGATTATAGAACATCCAGGGGGATTTTCCAGGATGCATTACCAATAACTAATTTTTCTGGGACGATGAGAGGCCTCTTATGAACATCCTAGTTCCAGGTTCCATTGGGAACAGCTACTTTGGAAGCTGGAAGTTGCACCACACATTGTGACTCTTCTCTGGACCACTCTGGCCCCCTTATCCCACCCCAGCCTAAGGGATATGAGGCAGAACCCCCTGGTGGCATCATGTGCATGCTTATTGTAGGATTCCTTAGGAAGCACTTCAGGCTCCTAATCAGAGCACTATCTAGAGAGAAAGAAGGCCCTTTGGGGAAACTGGCTCAAGCAACCAGGGTTCAGTTATACCAGTAAGTCAAGCAGGATGGAGCTGGATAAACTGGACTCCTTAGTCCATCTTTCTCTCATAGTGTGATGGGTGAATCTGAAGAATTCCTAGCCAAGGCAAGCCTGTATGGTACGTGCACATGCGCTCACACACATGTAGCAAAGAGATGAGGGAAGGATAGAAGGGGTCTGAGAAAAGGAAAAAAAGTGGGGTGAATTACAGAGCTGGTTGAAGTGCCTTTGTATCTCATGGGGTGGATGGAGTTGGGGTGGTGGTGAGCCGCAGTGCTGAGGGCCACTTGTCTGACTCTTTCCAGGGTGTGTGAGTACGTGGGCACCTTGGAGCACACCCACTTCAGTGACGGAGCCTCACAGCCGCCTCTGGCCATCAGCCAGCCCCAGAAGGCGCCCGGGGCTTCTGGGATCCTTGGGGACCTGGAGTGCGAGGGCGAATCCCAGGAGCCCAGCGTGGAGCAGGGGCCCTCCCTGAGCACAGCCCCCATGGTCCAGCCTCTGTCCATCCAAGAGCTCGTTCGGGAAGGCAGCCGGGGCCGGGCCTCCGACTTCCGCAGCGGCAGCCTCATGAGTGCGACCAGCGCCGCCAAGGTGGTGCTGAGCCTGTCCACCCAGGCTGACAGGTCTGTGCCCCTGCCCACCATGTCCCCCAGGATTCTCAGCAGGGGCATCCATTGCCTCTTAGTAACACCCACATCCTTCTGCCTGGTCTCAGAATCAGCCCAGAGACAACATGATTTGTTAGTCAAGTAAATATCTTTTGATCTTTTTCAAGCATAGTTCTCCCTACCAGCACGCCCCACCCTTAGAATGAACCGTTTTCTAGAACCCAAGTCTCGGGTGGCAGGTAGAGCTCTACATTGTCATCTTGGACAACTTCCCCTCTCTGAGCTCTGTTTTCGTTGTTGGTAAAATAGGGTTGTTATTTTTTAGGTAACTGTCTCACAAGGTAGTTGTGTATTGAATCAATTAATACATTTAGTTTCCAGAGCAGAGCTTTGCAAATAGTGAATGTCCACTATTTTTATGATTCTCTTTACAAAATCCAGCACCCAGGAATGTATGTAATTTATTGATGCCCGAACAACCACATCAAGGTAAGGAGGGGAAATCAGCAGTCACCCCACTGTTTGGTGAGACTTTTTGATGCTGACAGTGCTTTCATCACCAGTTCCCCGTGGTGCCACCTCACCCAGCTTCTCAGCCTGTGGTCAGTATGCCCCAGGCTTCCCAGCTCTGGCACCGTGCCGTGTGTACAAAGGGGAGGCAGGAAGTAGGCAGAGGGGTCACAGCCAGGGCTCGGACAGTCCTGACTTCACCCTCTGGCTTCAACCCTGACCAGCTGCAAGGTCACGTCACAGACATAAGTGTCCTGAGACTCAGTTTCTCCACAACTCACAGGTATGCCCATGTGCTCGATCACCTGTGCAACAGACCCTTTTTCCTGTTTATCCACCAAGTTGGCCGTGAAAAGGTTTTGGGATCTGGGAAGTGACCTGTGGGTGTCAGGTGGAGGTATTCCACTCTAGAAAGAGACCATGAATTAAGACCTAGAAGCCAAATAGTGTCAAAGTTGGAATTATAAAAATAGCAAGGAAAATGTATTGGTTTTAATAACTTATAAATGTTTAATATCCTTCCCATCTTAGACCTTGGTGTGTCTCATTTTACACCCTCAAAAAGGCTCAGGAATCAGACTCATAAATTACAGGAAAGCAAAAGCCTCTTCATTAATTAAACACTCTGGGTTTAAAAAATATATATATAGCATGTAACACTGCAGTGAAGTCTGAGGATTCTGTTCCCAGTTATTCCATTTCTGGGACTGTTGCTTTGCCATCTCTCACCTTCTTGCCGCACTCTAGGAGTACTTTTCATGGCTGAGCTACACCATGAGGAAACTAAAATATGCCTTGTGCCCTTGGATCGAAATCCTACAGTTAACGCTGACTTGTGCACAATAATAATAGATATAATAATACCATGCATTTGTCTACAGTGTTTACACAGCCTTATTATTAATTACATCAACAAAATTACCATAATCATTCTGTCATAAAGACCAGCTGAATTGTTTCCAAATAACAGATCTCCTCTGTTTGCACCCAGGCTCTTTGAAGATGCTACAGATAGGCTGAACCTCATGGCTCTGGGAGGCTTCCTTTACCAGCTGAAGAAAGCGTCGCAGTCCCAACTTTTCCATTCTGTTACGGATACAGTTGATTACTCTCTGGCGATGCCAGGTAATTATTTCTTGAAAGGAACTGTGCAGGGAAGTGAGCAGGACACAGCCACTTCTCTAAGTGTGTGTTCCCTTCTCACACACTCATAATAGTAAAGTTCATGGGCAGCCTGTCTTTCGATTTTGAGGCATAATGGTGGAGGTGGGGTGACTGGGAAATGCTGCTGCTACTTCCGGCACTGCAGGTATTGCCCTGGAAGTGGGGCTGGGTTGTTCTGCTCGGGTTTGTGCTTGTGATGGAGAAACTATGTGGCTACTTTTAGGGTCGAGACAGCATCCCAGAGTGGACTGGATTCTCCATGCCTTAAACCCACCCCTCACTTCCTCCCACTTCCCAAAGCAAATCACTGACTCCAGAAGGGAGAGTAGGAGAGGAAAGTGCAAAGGTTAACAGAAGCCTTATCCTGTGCTTAGAAACTGTTCTCAGGCCTGATGATGGTCCAGTATCACAGTGCCCGTGGTTGAGGCCTGGTGGAAAGGCTCCCCTGAAGCCTAGCTCTGTGGAAGAAGGAACCGAGTTGTGCCAAATTGCCGAGGTTCCAAATGGGTGCCAGGTTGCTCAGATGGTGCTAGGTGCTGGGGATGCACTAGTTGGATTGCAAAACCACTGACATCCCTCCTATCTTAGGAATCTGAGTTTGCAAACACTAGATATTTATTTGGCCCTTTGATGCTTACTGAAGATTCTGATTTGAAAACCGCAGTCCTTTCCCCACTACTTTTGTTTGCTTGTTTTGCTTTTATTTGTTCATTTTAACAAACTCTTGCATCGGTGACTAATTTTCAGTAGGTCACAGGAATGGAGCTGCTTTGATACATACAAAACCCTAACTCAGAAGCAGGCCATCTGTGACCCCTACTAGCTTTAGTAGACTTTCAAACCTTAGATATACGAACCCAATCTCCTGGGCTCATCAGACTTCCAGAGCATCTCTGAGCCCAGGGGTAACCTTCAAAGTCTTCTGCTTCAGAGAAAACTGAAGGCTCTGGGCTTACAGAGAAACAGTGAGCAGCAGCAGGATGAGGGATGAGGAAGGAGCCCTGGCTTTGGAACTCGTCAGATGGGAGTTAGGAAGCTCCTTCACACGTAACAGCTGTACAGCTGAGGCAAGTCAGTTCGCCTTTCAAACATGCAATGCTGTATACAATCACAACAATTCTATTTACTTCTTGAGATTGCTTTAAAAATTAAAGTAATTAAAGATGTAAAGAACCAACACAATGTCTGCTGCAGGGGAAATATACAGTAAATGTCCATGGTTACTTTTCCTGTTATTTTGAAGTCTAGTTGACATGACATGACATGAAAGCAGCCCATGGTCAGAAGAGCCAGATAAAGATGCGATTCTGTAGGACACAGGGGAGAGGCAATAGGAGATGAGCAAGAAGGCAGGGGGAAAAGTAAGGTGGAAGCAACAAAGTAGCAAGACACTGGGGTAGGCAAAGATCGTACTGAGCAAGACAGAGCAGGTCAGCAGCACCTCACTGAGGAACAAAAGGGCCTGGGCTGCTTGACAAGAGCTGCACAGGTGCATGACGGGTTGGTAAAGACAGCAATGATGGTGAAAACTGATGGTAACAACAGCAATGATGACAGTTGGAAACACACATTTGCATGTGGCAGGCCCTATGCTTGGCACGTGATGTGTAGCACCACATTTGTTTAACCATTAAAGCAACTTGAAGAAGCAGATGTGAGTCTCCCCAGTTCCAGCTGAGACACTGGGGCTGAGTGAGGGAGGGAAGTCTTTGGCCTGTCCTGACGATGCTACTAAACAGTGGTACCAGGATAGTGAGTCCCCCCCCCCCCGCCCTCCTACTTAACCACTCCTCCATTCCTTCTTCTCAGCAAATATGGCCACACCTGTCTCATACCAGATCCAGGGCCCCTCCCTGCTTGTGCAGCCCATGCTAAATAATCCTACAGGTCTGAGAATGATACCTGTATTATCAGCCTCTCTGTGCCCGAGCTTTCTGATTTTATGGTCCTGCCTTCCTACAGGAGAAGTTAAATCCACCCAGGACCGAAAAAGCGCCCTGCATCTGTTCCGCCTGGGGGACGCCATGCTGAGGATTGTGCGGAGCAAAGCCCGGCCCCTGCTGCATGTGATGCGCTGCTGGAGCCTGGTGGCCCCGCACCTGGTGGAGGTGAGGCCCGAAGCGGGAAGAGCTGGTGCCCTGGCTGGGGGAGGACCTGCTGCAGCCTGGTCACAAAATCACTGTTCTCTGGTTAAACCTCAAGGCACCTGGAGAACTGCCCCAAAGTATCTTACCATGTATCTTAGTGATCTTCTGGTCACTGGGAGACAATACCCAATACCCACAACTGTAAAGAGGAAAGGTTTATTTTAGCTCACGGTTTGTAGCAGTTCCAGTCTATTTGGCTGACTCCAAGGCAGGGCAGCATGGCAGAGGGGCATGGCAGAAGAGAAACAGCTCATGGCAGGGCAGCAGGAAGCAGAGAGTGATCAAGGGAGGGAGAGGGAGATAGACCCTTCCAGGCCACGCCCCCCAGTGACCCACCTCCTCCAATCAGACCTCACCTCCCAACATCACATTAATCTATAACTCATCAGTGGGCTAATCCCCTGCTGAGTATCACAGCCTCGTGATCCAGTCACCCCCCCCTAAAGCCCTACCTATGAGCACATGAAGCTTTGCAGGGGCATCTAGATATAAACCATAACACCATGACTCTGCCTTTACAGTTACACAACTAAGGAAGTTATCTTACAAAGCCAGCTTTTCATTCTTTAGGATCTGCTATCAACCTGAGTCTGAAGCTAAAAGACAAATAGAGGGCTCCTCATATCTTCCCTGTTATACAAAAATATATCAATGTCTTCAGTTCCTGCCATTCTCTCTTTTTTAATAATTTAATTACTCAGAACAATGTTCTTTCAGTAGAGGAAACATATGCTTTGGTTTTCCTAACAGGATTAATACTAAGGCTCTTTCACACTCCAAAGGAGAGCACTTTGTGGGATAAATTTTGGGGCAACTGCCCATCTGACTATCTCAATACATGATGAGTGGCTGACTCTATGTTGACAGAAAAAAATGTTGCCCTGTTTTATGGTGACAACTATTCTTAATAGCCCTTTAGCATCACTTGGTAAAGATATGCAATAAAAGATTTGGGGAATTTAATTCACTAACTTGAGAATATTCTAATCAGGTAAAAGAGTAGAAAATGTTAATTTAGTCACAGGGAAGGAATATATCAGTTATATTACACTATAATAAAATACCCCCAAAGCCTAGGGGCTTCTAACACCCATTTATTTAGCTCCTGGTTCTGTGGGTCAGAAACCTGAGGAAGGCACATCTGGTGGTTCTGGTCTGGGCCAGCCTCCTGGGTCTCAGCTGGCCTTACTTTTGCACCAGGTTGGCTGGTATATAAAGACTGCCACCAGCCAGTTCATGATGGCCTTAACTGGAAGGGCTGGACAGCTAGATCTCTCTGTACCTTGGCTGTCATGTAGATTAGCATGCAGCAGACCAGCCCTGCTCATTTACATGAGATTCTTAAGTTTTCCAAGAATATCAAGTGGGCAAATCGTACATCACAACTACTTTTTAATTCTCTACTTAGATAATGTTCATTACTATCTCATGTCTGAGCTCAGGCTCAGTGTGGGAGACAACCACTAAAGGGCACAGATACAAGGAGGTAGGAGCGAATCAGAGTGCTCATTGCAATTGGCCCACCTCACCAAGAGACAGACGACTCCCCTGATCTTGATGTGCTTGGGGCGCAGCTAAGGATGGGGCCAAGAACAATCCCAGACTGGCTTCTGGTATCTCTATTGCAAGCATGTTCTATAGCGTATATACCACCAAGGAAAACTCTCATGCTGACTTCAGGGGGAAAAAAAATGACCAGGAATGTATTTTTCCATTAAAGTGAAATTGGAGTTGTGTCTGATCAGCTGGTCAAATGCAATTTAATGCACAGTTCCTCTGTATTTATTCCTTAGATCTCACTCTCTCTTGTCCTGTGCAGGCTGCCTGCCACAAGGAAAGACATGTGTCTCAGAAGGCTGTGTCCTTCATCCACGACATCCTGACAGAGGTTCTCACCGACTGGAATGAGCCGCCTCATTTTCACTTTAACGAAGCACTCTTCCGACCTTTCGAGCGTATCATGCAGCTGGAGTTATGTGATGAAGATGTCCAAGACCAGGTCAGTGTGGCACTGGCACTGAGCAGTGCAGGACCAGAGGCAGCTTCCAGAGCATGCAGGGGTGGTCACGGTCCTCTGAGCCATGCGTCCTCGGTGCTCCCCGTAATCTTAGGATGCGTTGGTGACACAGATAGGTTGAGCAGTTTAGCCAAGGGTACCTGCATAGTAATGGTAGAGCTGGGATTTGGACCTGGACAATCTGGCTAGAGTGGTCTGTCCCCTCTTAACCACCACCATCCTTTCTACTACTGGCCAATCGTAAAGAAACCAACTGGAGACTTCCTGGCTAACACAACAGTGGGTCAGGAACACAGATGGACCCCGACTCTGAAATGTAAAATGTTTTAAATTTTTATTCGTGTATTTTTGTGATACATAGTGAATACACTCAACTTGGGGGTTTGATACATACACATATCACATCTTGATCATTGTATTTCCCTTCCCTGATCCTGTTCCATCTCTACAGAGCCTACTTCCATGTTTCTTAACATGGCTCTTTTATTTTGCTCTTTAAATTATTTATATTTCAGGTCTCTCCTATTAGAGAAACCATGCAATGTGATATTCTTTGTAGATACGTGGACATATTAGCAAAAAAGTACAAAATGTCAACATACTCAAAACTAAGTGACAATGAGAAGACAGAGAAGCCACCCGAGCCTGCAGCTGGTTTTACAGTGAGGGAATTTGTCATCGGGCAAAGCAGGGGTTCTGGTGTCATGTTCTTGAGGGCACAAGGGCAAGAGACAAAGCTCAGTGCAACTGTAGAAGATGGTGTCCACTCAGACCAATGCGGAATTAGAAGTGAACCCAAGCGCCACCCTCCCCGAGGGCACTAGCAACCTGTTTCTGACAGTGATTCATGGTGGAGACTTTAAAGAAATCTCCAGAATTTAAAATTATAAGCCAGCCTCTTCCTGAGGTTTCTGTATGAAATTGCACCACCTCAAGAGTATAAAAGTAACAAAAATGAGTCGTGACTTCATAAAGAGCAAAAACCACTCCTATTTCTAGAAGAAACCATAGAATAAGACAGTCATTGAGAACTTGAATTAGGCAAAGATTTCTTAGAAATACTAGCAACATGACCCATAAAAAGAAAAAATTGAATTAGACTTTATCAAAACGATAAAATTTTGTTCTTTAAAAGATACCATTGCCAGCTGTGGTGGTGTACACCGTAATCCCAGCACTTGGAAGGCTGAGGCAGGACGATTGCTGAGAGTTTGAGGCCAGCCTGGGCTACATAGTGAGTTTAAGGCCAACCTGCACTACATAGCAAGACTGTGTCCCCCGCAAAAGAAACAGTCATTAAAAGATAAAAAGACAAGCCTAAGGGTGTTAAAAAATATTTCTAAATCGTAAATGTTAGGAAGGACTTGAATCTACATTGCACATACAACAATTCTATAATGAAAAGACAAGATATCCAATTTAAAAAGCAGCAAACTGCTTACAGAGCGGCTAATGATGGAGTGAAAATGTGCTCAGCAACATTAGTTGCTAGTGAAATGCAGATTCAGGCAGTCTGGTTGCTTATTCTGAAGGTTTCAGAATGAACCTGTCTAAGTTGTGGTTTTTCTTTAAAATGAACCCAGAGAAGTGCATGGCCCTTTCCAGAAACTGTCCTGCTTCTATTGAGCGCCACCCCTCTGCCTTAGGTGGTGACATCCATCGGGGAGCTGGTGGAGGTGTGTTCCACGCAGATCCAGTCGGGCTGGAGGCCGCTGTTCAGTGCCCTGGAGACTGTGCACGGCGGGGGCAAGGCTGAGGTGAAGGAGTACCTCATGGGGGACTACACCATGGGTAAGCGTGTTCAGGGGTTCTTCATCCTTCATGCCGGGTGTCATGCTATCAAAAGAACTGAAGAGGGAGGGCAGGCATTCAGTCATTCTTTCTAAGCAGGAAGTAACGTGTAGCAGGGACCCAGGGTCTGAGTCCCACCTACAGGCCCAGAGCCCTGACCTTCATGAAACCCCCGCTCTTGCTGACAGGTGGGCAAAAGGCTGAGAGGTTTCTGTTGGTTCGCTACACAAAGCAGTGTAATGTTCCATCCAAAAGCCAAAAAGAAACAATGTGCATCTGAAAATCAGAAATCTGAAATGCCCCCAAATCCCAAACCCTTGGAGTGTTTCAGACCATTTCAGGTTTCGGATTTTCAGACAAGTGATGCTCAGTCACTAAAGTCTATGCAAATATCCCAACAATCTTTTTTTTAAAAACCCTGAAATCTAAAAACCATCTCATCCACAGCATTTAGGATGAGGGATTCTCAACTTACACCCATATGCTAATAAAAGCAGAAAAGTATGATAACACAGGAAAGTCAGAATTGGGGAGATTGGATAGGCAGGCCCAGGGTCACTGTGTCAGGTTACCTCTACATTCAGAAACTCACTGGGACTTGTGGACTCAGAATACAGTTAAGCTAATATTTATTACACAGTTCACGGGTAGGACTTGCTATGGCAGGGTAGTAAGGACACAACCAGGTCAGAGCACCCTCCACTACCACATAGCAGAAGTCCAGACACAAGAAAGCAGGTGTTCAGCATCTACCATATGGTTTGCACAAATATTCTAGGCTTACAGATCCACAAATATTCTAGGGTTACAGATCCACCTGCTAAGTGTGGATGCCAAACAAGGCCACCTTGCAAGCGAGCTTTGCTGAGGCTGGCAGTGCCAGGCCTTCTTTGTAAACTTGCTCCACATGGGAATGAATGCCCTTCTATATGGGCCTCCCCTGCCTGTGGCTCTGCCAGCCCCAGTTTTCTATGCAGGAGCATTTCCAGAGGCATGTGCTCCACCGACCTGTAGACTACACATCACTGCAGCCTTGCATTCCTCCAGCTCTGTCCTTGTCTCTCCACCCAGCTTTTTTCCCCATCTTTGTATTTTTATCAGTGCATGTTAATTATACAGAATACTGGCTTTCAGTGTGGCACTTTCATACATGCAGATAACAGCTTTCTTTGTAGCCTGCCTGTAGTTCCTTGCAGGCAAAGCTGAGCAGGACACTCCCACAGCCAGTCTAAAGGCCTGGGCATTTCTCCAGTGGTTGGTGCTGGGAATATGAAGAACCTCAAAGGTAGAAACCTCTCTTTCTTAAAACTCTACAATCTTCCTCCCCCAGGAAAAGGCCAAGCTCCCGTCTTCGATGTGTTTGAAGCTTTTCTCAATACCGACAACATCCAGGTCTTTGCTAATGCAGCCACCAGTTACATCATGTGCCTTATGAAGTTTGTCAAAGGACTTGGTGAGTGGGGTCCTCTTTTCATGCCTCATAACCATTGGAGAGCCTCTCCAGGATGGAGAGACAGGGCTGCCAAACCACCTGGAGCAAGCACACATCTGGAGTCATGACCGAATGGGGTTGAGTCATATGCCCAGGGGCAGAGAGCTTACTGGGAAAGGAGCCTGGCTTTGTCCTGAGTTGTTGTTTCTTCATGGTGTCCATAGATGTCTAGGGTGTGTGTATGTGTGTGTGTGTGTGTGTGTGTGTGTGTGTGTGTGT